AACACTCACGTAAACGAGGACTGAAACAAGGGAGCAGAGAACATGAGGAACAGGTGACAACACTCAGACAAACGAGGACTCAACTAGACAAGAGGGCGTGGTACAGAGAAACAAGGAGGCAAGAACAGAGGAGCACATGGCCAACACAAACAACCATATGTTCAAGCACAACAAAAACATAAAGACATGAAACAAAGACAACACCGACAAAGCTGCCAGAGCAAGACCCTGACATTACCATTTACCATTTGTCCATTATTGTGAGAAAATACATTATTGTCAAAAGTTTGGGGTTGGCAAGATTTTTTTTATTTTACAAGACTAAATCTATCTAGTTTAATATATTGTATTCCTGTGATGACAAAACTGAATTTTCTGCAGCCATTACTCCAGTCTTCAGTGTCACATGATCCTTCAGAAATCATTCTAATATGTTGATTTTCTGCTCAAGAAACATCTCTTATTATTAATGTTAAAGGTGCAATGTGTAAACATTTTGAGTATCTATTAACAGAAATGCAATATGACATCCACAACTATGTTTTCAGTGGTGTATAAAGAACTTACTTAATAAACCGTAATGTTTTTATTACCTTAGAATGAGACATTTATATCTACATAACCGCGGGCACCCCCTTCTATGAAGGTCGACATATTGTGACGTCATGTTTCTACCGTAGCCGACAGCGAACAAACAGCGCTACAGAGCGCGTTTCGTCACTACCTTGAAAGAGAAGCAGCAGAAAGCTATAAGCTAGCCATAAACACCGTGAGTAGTGACTTTTCCCTTGTCAGTGGTGTAAAATATGTAGTTGGATTGTTTCATGCAACTTAGTTCTTCTCCCTCGTTGTGTTATGGCTTTGCTATGTGGGGATAAATGTGCTGGTTACGTTCGTGAGACAGCTGATTAGTACTCTTGTCATTGACCGTAAAACAGTAACGTTACAGGAATCACCAACCCGTCGATCGCGGTCGACAAGTCGATCTTGGAAGCATTTTAAGTTGATTCAAAGTTTTCAAAATCAGAGAAAAAAAGCCTATTGTGTGTAGTAAATGGTGTCTAGGGGATGCGGACGCGCGCGCTGTTACAATCATGTAATTTTTGCCTTCGCACCTTTGGGCTCATGCGGACGCGTCGAGTTTAAACAAGGCTTTACGCTTTAACCAGCTCAGCCACAGTAACAGCTCATATTTAGCCAGCTAAACTTTTACTACCCTGTTAGAAAAAATATATAATTGCATAGTATCATGTGTTTTTTCTCCCTCGCTGTATTATGGGTTTGCTATGTGGGGAGAAATGTGCTGGTTATGTTTGAGACAATCAGATGATTACTATTATATTAAATATTTAGACCCTTGATCCTCACCTGACTATGGCTTTGTAAACTTTATCTATGATGTGGTTTATAATGGACTGTGGTACAGAAACAGTGACAATGTTACACACTCTTGGCTTACTCTGGCTATTCTCTGCTGTCTCAGACGACGATATATGTTTGTCCCGTTTTAGCCACCGTAGCTTCTTCGAAAGGGAGGGGTGAGCAGTGGGCTGAGCCCTTAGTGCAAACTCGCAACCGAACCGCTAAAAATACACACTGCACCTTTAAAATTAGTTGTGCTGCTTAATATTTTTGTGGAAACTGTTACATTTTTTCCAGGATTTTTTGATGACTAGTAAGTTCAATAGAACAGCAATAATTTAAATCTTTAGTGTCACTTTTTATCAGTTTAATGCCTCCTTGTCGAATAAAAGTATTAATTTCTTTTAAATAAAAATCTTACTGACCCCACAGTTTTTAACATTAGAGTTTTTTAACTGAATACGGTTCCGTTACACTAATAGTTCTTGCATGTGCATTCTGTAAATAGTAAATTTCAACGCACCGCTGTGCAATGCAACACTGCTACTGAATCCAAAGCACAATTCCTGAAAGGATGACTTTTATGCAACAGTTATGTTAAGTGATTCAAAACCATACAGCACAACCAGTGTAATGACTCTCTTGTAATGTCCTTTGTAGTGTATCAGAACCATACAGTATGACCTATAGCCCAAGGATTCTAGACAAAAATTACTGACTAAATTAAAACCATTCAGAGCGACCTGTGTAGTCCAATTGATTCCCAAATAAATGACTCAAATGAGCCAGTTCTTTTTATATAATCAAAAACAAGCACCTCCAAAGCTATAGTGTTCAGTTAAAATGCTGTATCTCCTGCTCTCTTAGCCTCTCTCTTGCTCTTTTTGGAGAGGGGGGGCAGCTGTATATCACTGCTATGCAAACAATTCACTCTGATTAAAGACCGTCACCCACAGCACCCTTACACTCTGCAGACCACATTCACAACACTCAATGCGAACCGCTGCAAGTTTAGTCTTGATTTTGACAGCCAAGAGCAATTTCCCAAACCAGGGAAATCGAATTTGATCCAGCGCAGTTTGTCCATTTGTATTCCCTCAGATTGTTTCTAATAGTCCAGTTTCAGCAGACTGGACTTGAGCTGAATCTTCTCCTCACAGTCAAGCGAGTTTTCATTTGTGGTGTGTGTGATATGGGCTGTATGACATGTACATATATTAGACCGAGCAGCTGTACCCTGGTAATTGACTGAAGGGCTCTCTCTCCTCTCATAGCGCTGCTGACTGAGCTAAAAGGCTTTAGTGGCTAATGTCAGTGAGTGGCGAGTCTTAATCCTGTCGAGAGCGCAGCCGAGGGTGAAATCCTTCTTTGATTATTGCTTGCTATCGTTGCCTCTTTCCAGAAAACAATTTCTCCGCAGACTCAACTGCACAGGCAGGGAATCACCGGCGAGGTTTCCCACCCAGGGCACAATATGTTCTCTACTGCACCGCTGGAGATGTAATGAATATGGGATTGATGGTTGCAGATGTTTAATGACTGCTATGTAACACCGATATCCTCAAATAAAGCTAGAAAATGTTGACCCGCATTACTATATTATCTTTTTGTACATTATCCAGAAAATTCATGAGTACTGTAAACTGAAGAAAAAAAATCAAAGTTGTGAATAACAGAAAGATGATGTTGAGGGTTCAAAAGGTTGCGTGTGTGTGTGTTTCTGACAGTATCTGTGGCATGCTGTCATTTACCACAGACAAACATTCTGACTCATCCCTCGGTACTTAAGTTTACATTTTCATAATCTGTGAGTCAGATATAAAGGTAAACATATTTGGGTTGCTGATTATGATACAGGGTTTGTGTTATTCCTAATATCAGAAATGGATAGAAAAATGTGAAAAAAGAAGAGAAATTGCGGGGACTTGGTTCTATCAGTCAGTTGTTGATTGGATGTTGGCAGATATAAATGTGAGTTTGTAGTCAATTGTAAGAAAAGGGTGTGGTTAAAGTAGACGACGATATGATTGTAGAAGTTTGGCAAACACCACTAGAAAGAGTTCTGTCATTTCACTGGAAGATTGAGTTATCATGACATAAAAAATTATGGGCCCCAAAAAAATGCATATATGGATGAATTGTTCACAGTAAGATTATTTTATTAAAATAGGTTGAATTTCCTTTTCACTCCGACTTTACATCAGCATGCAATATTATACTTTTAATCAGGCACTGAAAAGAATAACCCCCAAACTTATTTTTGAATCATTTAGTGGTCCAAGGATGATATGATTTTCCAAAGGAATAGAATTTTGCATGATTCCCGAATATTCCTTTCAGTGAGCTCTTTTGTGCAGCTGCTCTTTCCACACACACACACCAGCTGGGCCTTTCCTCTCTTTCAATCTTATCTTTAACTGACTCTTTCTCAGCATTTTTTTTCTTCGCTCATGGTTTCGTTTTTCTCCATCTCTTTCTCCTTCTCAATTACTACTGAAAGAGGATCAATAATTCAAGAGAGCAAAAACAATGTGAATCTTCTCTCACATCATCTCTTTGAAGCATCTGTCTTATACTCACTTTCTCTCTCATAAAACGTAATCTCATGTCATACTTGTTATAGAAACGTTCTTATGTGTTAAAGAAATGTCTTATTAATGGCCCAAGCATAATTTCTGGGAACACATTGTGTCTTATGTATGTAAGGGTTTTGGTTTGCTATTGTTGCTGCACTAAGATAATGTTTTATTTTATTTTTTCAGGGATTGTTTTTAGTCTGGGGTGGGGAGAACAGCAAAGACCAAATCATGGTTCTTACCAAAGCTTTCTTTCCTTTTTTTCATTGATTTTTTTCATTGTTTTTATTTTCTTGTTGTATTATTTATTTTTCTGCACTTTTCCTTTGTTTGTGGTTGTTAATCCCACAGCTGTGTGTGGTTGCACACAATGGCATAATCCTATAATCTTCAGATCGATCATTCCTCAGACTATCCTGCTGATCTGCCAGCAAACACATTCTAGTGACTGAGAATAAGTCAGCATGCACACTAGTCACCATTCACCTCCTTTTGCATATGAAGCACTATATTTAATATCATCTGTAGCATTATTCATAACCTGAATTTACATTCTAACCAGCTGACAGCATCAGCTTCAGTGCTAACGTTTCATTCCCATTGCATGTGCTTTTAACGCTCTGCTCCTGTTGGTTTATCCGAGATGCCACTGTGATTGTAGCACAGCACGAGGTCCCATGGGTAAAAAGTGTGAATGAGGGAGAGAGGCCTGCTGGACATGATGGTTTAAACTTAAAGGGTGAAGGAGCATGCGAAAGAGAGACTGCCTCCGAGTGGAGTGCTGCTGGTTAATGAAGGGTGAAGGAGAAAAAGATAGAGAACAGAAAGAAAGAACAAGTGCTGCGCCGGCTATAAAAGTGATTTCGCACATTTTTTTAACCTCTCCACCATATCCACAGAATTCCCCTACAAACCTGATGACTGTATCACTCCCTGCACATGAAATATTGATACATTCACCTGTGAGAGAGTCTCCTGTAATGCTGAGATGTTATTTTTACTTTACAGTTTTAAACTGGCAGATGCAGAGCTTCGTTCTTTAGTCTCAAAATCTGATTTCTTTTTGTTTCAGGTGCTTTTGTCTGGACTGATTGGAGTGGTGTCATGGAAAAGGCCCCTTTCTTTGGTGGTAAGAAATGACCTATAGTTATACTAATAGGCACGTGGTGTTTTAGTGTATGTGTGCATGTGTGAGTTTAAGAGTTTAAGATAACTAATAACAGGGTTCGTATAAGGTGCGTGAAGAACTTGAATTTGACTTTTTGAAATGTAAGTGAAAACAGCCATATTTATGAAAAGGTACTTGAAAAGTGATTGAATTATTGAAAGACAATATATGTGAAATCTGTGTTTAATTTTATCGATGAAACGATCTTTTCACGCAAAATTAATGCTGCAGCTCATCTGATATAGATATAGATCTAGAGCCATGGCTATGCATTTTGCATGGCTATGAGTGTAATATTGCTCATATAAATATCCAAGTATATGATACAGGTTTCATTCTTCAGGTCAATCATTTATTCATGGGGGGGAAATCAGTTTGAAAGCGATATCTTTGTCATAGTATCCTTTCAATGGTTAAAGTTACCACAGTCATTGCATGTGCTTCACATTATTTGTACCATTTTGTTTTATTAGTTTATTTTCTTTTATCTATTTACCTTTTTTTTTTTTGAATTTGAAAGATAATAAAGATATTGTTTGATAAGTGAAATTGTAGTCCCTGAAAACCAAAAAAGTAGTGTTTGAAAAGTCCTTAAATGTAATTTTACAGTATCTGTACGAAACCTTTAATTACCATCATAGACATTAAGAGGGACACGTTCCCTCAATATTCATCTTTGTTACTTGACCAATATGGGATTTTCAGTGGTACATTCTATCAATGCACAATATTAAAATTCTTAAATTCGTTAAATTAATTTATGAATTTATAAACTGCTAAAAAAAAATCATTTTAAAATCACAACATTTTTTACAGTATGAAAAATGGATATTCATTTTGCTAAAGATTACATACCGGTATTAACAGTGTTATTAAATTATTAGTATTTTAAGGGGAGACAACCCAGGCAAAAAAAAATTTCTTTTTTTTTTTACTGGTCAATTTTGAGATTTTGGGCTATTTGTCTTCAATAACATGTCTTCTTTCAGACTTGTGAAAAAAAGTCCAAAATACACATTTAGGTCTTTATTTTACTACACTTTGTCTATTTGCGTCTGTAGATTTCTCCTATATTCATCAAAAGTTGGCGTTCTAAATCATCATGTTGCTCCGCTCTCGCTGTCTGCACCCTATCATCACATATACCGTTGGAAAGCTATCTCTCTCCTGTACAATGTTGTCGGATCCAAATATGGTCATTTCCTTTTTTATCAGCAACCAATCGTGAAAGTACAATGGGGGATTTAACTCTAAAAGCGAAATCTTATTGGCTGATGTCAATTTCTGACAACCTGATTCGTTCAGATGCATCACGTGACGTGCTCTTTCCGCGGGAGTTCAAAATGTCGAAAGAAGTGCGTCGAAAATCATCTCACAGAAGACGAAAACAGTCTGACTGTCTGTGTCCTCCAAGCACACATATCAACCTTCATATCAAACAGGCATGGAAAATTAGGCTGTAGACGGTATCTAGGCCTGGGTGGCAGTTTCTACATGGGACCGTTTGTGTGTGTACACTGTTTTTTACTGGGGTTCTGTTCAGTTGAAGGCCATAAATGCTGTGTTATACGTTTTTATGTGTTTTTGGTGGTTTGTATTGTTGTTGCTAATGATTTGATAAGATATTGTGTCTGTAAATAGTTGTTTCCACTAAAAAAGTATGAATTTTTACAATACAAATCTTTAAAGGGCGTTTTGTCAAAATGGGGTTTTTCTCATACTCTGAGCCAGCGATCTCCACTTCAGCAGCACTTACATACACCAAACTTCCCAGTTGTATTCCTATCTCTAGTATGACTCTAATATGTCAACAAAATTAAACAAGAATTTTGAATCTGGCTTTATCCAATGTTCAGATTTCTCTTTTGGAAATATATGCAATTTAGCGCATATTTAATTAGATAATGCCTAATTTAAACATAAATATTCTAAAAACTTGTAATACAAAAGATATTTGTCTTAATGTCAGTAATCAACTGGGGAAGTTTCATGTTGATATCTAGTAGTAATTTTTTTTTTTCCTATTCACCTGGGGTGTCTCCCCTTAAAGATGAACCTGAAAGTGAGCATTAGATGGCAGTCTAATAAATAGAGGAAATTAACATGTCAATCATCGTCCATTTACCATTTCAGTCGTATCTGACTCTTGGTGATTCTGTGGGCCAAATCTCGCCATACACAAGAGACTGTCCATGAATTTTCTTGGCGATGAGTATTTTTCGGGGTAAGTCGCTACTAGGTCTTTCCCAAACCCTCCCCATTACATGGCTTGGGACTCACACACACACGCATTTACATCCACTGACTATTTTTAGCGCCTCCGGTTAGGGTTGTGAGACCAAAAGACCAAAAATGAACGGTTGAACACCAAAATTTGAATTTGAACTGTAGGCCTATAAAAATATAGCCTATATTCGCGTATTTTCAGATTTTTGTTTGACTTTTTGCCCCTTTATTAAACATTTAAAATATTCACAAATTATATGGACAAAATTGTTTTCTAAGGCCAAACACTATATTTCTAAGGCTATAGATGATTTATAGGCTATTATAAATGTTTCTGAAAGAGTAACGAGGCATTTTAATTGTTTATTAAAAAAACTAGCAAAGCGGATGCGCCTTTAGATAAGAAATTCATATGGATTACATAATCATTAGACTGTATTTTCTTTCGATTCGAATTTGTTCGTTTAAAAGTGGACATTTCAAGCTTTAGCCTATGGGCGAGCGCGACTGATTGTTTTATTTTATTTTACAAAAGCACAACATTTTCTTGTTATTGTGAGTTTACACAAATAAAAGTAGTTGCGAATGATGTTTATTTTCTATGACCAGAAATGATAGAGTAGGCCTATTTTAAGTTGTTTCCACTGTTGATAGAAAAACGGAAGTGCTCGCGCCCGCGCCTCGAGTGCAGCAAGCGCGGTCCACACTCCGATTACATGCGCTTCTTATGGTGTGTTCACACCGAACGCGAATTTAATTATTTGCGCGAGTAGATTACATACAAAGTCAATGCAAAGACGCGAATAGACGCATCATTCGCGCCGGGCGTTGCGAATGACGCGAATTGGGCGACGCGTTTGCCGCGAATGTCTTCCGCGCAAGTTGAAAAATTTGAACTCGAGCGAATGTTCAAGCGTCTAACTAAACGCGATAGACGCGTATTTGACGCTCTATTCGCGTTCGGTGTGAACACACCATTATGCGCTTCTTGAGGCACAGGCTCACAGAGGCACACTAGCACACACACGCAAGGTCTCTCGCTCTCTCCCTATCTGCCGTTGCGCGCGCTACACAGTTTGAACATACATATTCACGTAGCCTTTCGAAAACCGGGACATTCAGTGTCCCGGGAGAGTGCATAAATTTCCCGGGACAGGTTATTAAAAAGAAGGACAATCCCGGTAAAACCGGGACAGGTGGCAACCCTAGTTGTGCGATGTCTACCAATTTGGCATCAGACGATGTGTACAGTGAAACATCGCGATGGACGATGATATCGGGAGGAAGGGCGGGGCTAACATTCTAATTTTTCACTTAAGCAATAAGCCCCGCAAAGCCGTGTTTTACAGTGGATTTAGAACAGCTAAGGGGTGTAGGCACAACGCAGAGATATTTTCCTCTACATATCATCAGCAATTTTGATGTCGGCACGCTCTGCAGCAGCTGAGCATTATGGAGCGAATGTACAGTGACGTGACAGAACTGCCCAGATTCAAACTGTGCTTTCGCGCTGTGGCTGCGCTGAGCCAGAGACGGACGCGCTCAGCGCTTGTCATATATCACAACTATTCAGTGTTTTTAACCACATAATGTTTATTTTAGGTTTCAGACATTTAAATGCATATAATTCATAGCAAAACAATACATTTATAGTTTGTAAAATACACAATGGTGTCTATGGAAGCAGCAATTACAACCCATTCAAATATATTTGCCGACGGATTTCATTCATATCAGACACACAGTTTTAAGTAACTATAAAGTTAACTATATTCTTCTCCCAGTTCACCGGCCATGTATTTCTGGAGTAACTGATGAATTCACGTGCTGTAATAAACCCAACAGACATGAATCTCTGAACTGCGAGATTCAAACAAACATTACGGCGCCCATCTCGCGTTACAGATCAAAATCATTTATAAAGGTTTTTTAAACAACAAAACAAAGGCAACCAGTAGTGAGAACTCCCACTAGCGACCTCATCGCCAGCCACTGGCGACATGCAGCGACAAAGTCGTAGCCACTGGCGACATGCAGCGACAAAGTCGTATACCTCCTGATATTGTAGTGTGAACGGGGCTTTACACGTATTTGAGAATCGGAATAGAAGATAGTTGATGACATGGTAACAAGGGCGTAGATTTGGTTTGAACATTGGGGGGGTTGAAGTTTGGGTATACCTCCTGATATTGTGATCATGGTATAAATAATGGGGGGGTTGTAATGCATAGATTTAAATATTGGGGGGGGGGGGGGGGGGGTGGGGGGGGGGGGGGGGATCACGATGCTGGCTTCACGATGTCAGCCATCACGATGGACGATGATATCGTCTATCGGCACAACCCTACCTCCGGTTCACCTATACTGCATGTTTTTTGGATTGTGGGGGAAACCGGAGCACCTGGAGGAAACTCAGCAAGGACTCGATCCAGGGACCGCCTTCCAAGTAAGGCGACAGTGCTACCCACTGAGCCACTGTGCTGCCCAGTGCTATTAAATACTAGCTGATAAAAATGTAATATCTCTAAAATGGGACAAAAATGTATAAAAATGAACACGGGATGCACAATATACGTTATTATATTTAATAACCCCCAGTCATGAATACATGGTTACATCTTTGATTTTTGGATCCATAAACCGTTTTTATGTTCAATTTTATTCTCGAAGGCATAAAGTCATTAGTGATCTGTTTCTTCCATTCATAATATACTGTTAACAGTATGTGACATGCA